ATTGGGGCTTTTATCCTATGCATGCACTCTCATTGCTTCTGCTGCTGCAGCACCAGCAGCAGCAGCAGCAGCACCACCATCAGCAGCAGCAGCAGCAGCAGCAGCAGCAGGAGGAGCAGCAGCAGCAGGAGGAGGAGGAGGTTCTGGTGTATCGTGTCTGCATGCGTTTGCTTTGGTTTGTTTTTGTGGTTATGTTTCTTTGGATAGCGAGCTTATATTTTGTTGTGTGAGCTCTTTATTTAATTGTAGACATTTTGGGCGGCTGTCGGGGATAGCGCAAGCAGCAGGGGGTTTAGTATCTCTTGTTGCTATTCCTTTATATGATAGGGTGTCTGTACACCTCATGGGGGGAGATTGTAGGCCTGTTGCTGTCTGTATTGCTGCTCTTCTTGCTGCTGCATACCCTATCATTATATGGCTTGGTTGGGGACCACCTATGCGAAAAAAAAATCACGCTGCTGCTGCTGCTGCTGCTGCTGCAGCTGCTGCTGCTGCTGCTGCTGGTGGTGGTGGTGGTGCTGCTGCTGCTGCTGCTCAGCCAGATACTACTGCAGCAGAAGAACAGCAAACGGTGCAGCAACGAACTGTACATGTTGAGCTGCCTATACACCCCAATAAAGATAAACCACGAAACCACCACACCTGCTGCGACGACCAACTCGCGCTGCTGCCCCCCCAAACTGCAGCAGCAGCAGCAGCAGCAGCAGGAGATGAAGCAGAAGCAGACGGAGGAGAAGCAGCAGCAGATCACCTGCCTTTGAAAACAGAGACGCAGCAAGGGGAAGAGGAGGCAGAAATGCCAGCAGCAGCAGCAGCAGCAGCAGCAGCAGCAGCAGCAGACACTTGTGCGATGGAGGAAAGAAGACAGACAAGTGAATTCTGCTACTGCGTCTAAGCAGCAAAAGGAGACAAACTGCAGCAGCAGCAGCAGCAGCAGCAGCAAGAGCAGCAGCAGCAACAGCAGCAGCAGCAGCAGCAGCAGTAGCAGAAACAGCAGCACAAGGAGACAGAGAGCAGTAGGAAGACATAAACAGCAGGAGAGAAAGATATGCAGAAGAAGAGTACGAGCAGCAGCAGCTGCAGCAGCAGCAGCTGCAGCAGAAAGGAGACAAACTGCAGCACAAACCAACAGCAGCAGGAGACAAACAGCAGCAGGAGATGAGCAGCTGCAGCACGAGACCAGCAGCAGCAGCAGGAGACAAGCAGCAGCAGCAGACACCGTCAGCTGCAGCACAGAAAGGAGCAGGAGGAGACAGTGAGCTGCAAAAGGAGACAATTAGCAGCAGCAAGAGACAGCAGCAGCAGGAGGAGACAATCAGCAGCAGCAGCAGCAGCAGCAGCAGCAGCAGCAGCAGCAGCAGCAAGAGTTTCAATGGAGGCTCCAAAGGAGCCCCAGCTGCATGAGGCGAGGCGTAGCCCCCCCCTCTCTCACAGCCCCCCAGGCAGACAAACTTTTTGTCTCCGTGGGTGCTGCAGCAGCAGCAGCTGTTGCTGCTGCTGCTGCTGCTGCTGCTGCTGCTGCTGCAGGGGCCCTTGAGACGGCTCGAGGGGGGATTGGGGTGGGGCACGTATAAACCGAAAATGGCTAGCTACCTATATAGCTAGCCATCTATGCAGCTAGCTAACTAGCTAGCTAGCCAACTATGCAGCTAGCTACATAGATAGCTAGCCAACTATGCAGCTAGCTAGCTAGCTAGCTAGCCAGCTGGGCAGCTAGCTGCCTAGCTAGCTATCCGGCTATGCAGCTAGCTAACTGGCTAGCTACCCAGCTGGGCAGCTAGCTAGCTAGCTAGCTAGCTAGCTAAGCGGCTAGCTTGACAACTAGCTAGCTCAGCAGCGCGATAGCTAGCTACGGAA